TGGAAAACAAGCCACATAATTAAAATATAGTGGTAGAGAATCTACAAATTTTCAGGTTTTTATAGAAAAACTTTTTTATCAGACTTGAACATACAGGTGACAAAATCAAAATCGAGAGGATCAAGCACATACAGGTGACAAAATCGAGTGGATCAAGCACACGCTTTAAGAAACCGGGGAACAGGTAAATCAGGTATAAATGGACAATGGAGTTACCCATGTATGGCGAGACATGTCACGTGATACAACATCGCGTCTACCTGAAATTTTTCAATCAGCTGATACAGGTAAACAAACTAGTAAAATATCGGTAATCCGTTTGATTTACTTAACATCGATCAACAAAGTTATAACAACCAAACATATATAATGAAACACACTTACATGTATGCATCTAGTGACTTGTACGCTTTCATAGACTCCTTGGTGTAAATGGAAGGTGTGTCAATCAAATACAGGTAAATATCGCCGAAGGTGAGATCTGGCCAGGTGCTAGGGTTCGGGTCCCATTTCTCGGTCAATGCATAAGGATCTGGTAATTTCTCTGTCCCATTGTTGTACAAAAGCTTTGTAGAATACCTGAGTTTAGCATCAGTTGGTAATGAAGTCGCATACTTAGATAAATCGCTAAGGGAAGACGGAGGTGTAAGTGATTTGTCAGCCATGATTTATTGAATGGTTCTTGCCAACCAATTCCGTGCGCATGCGTCAGAATTACGTCACGATCTAATGTGGCGAACTCTCCTATTGGATTTCTGATCGACCCAAAAAATAACAACACTTTGTCAGGACCATAAGGCGATCATTCCTACCAACTTTCAGTTCAATCGGCCCAGCAGAACTTGACTTTAAGTTTGAAATAGGTTTTCAAAATGGCGGCCGTGGCGGCCATATTGGATTTCTGATCGACCCGAAAAATCACAACACTTTGTCAGGACCATAAGGCGATCATTCCTACCAACTTTCAGTTCAATGGGCCTAGCAGAACTTGACTTTAAGTTTGAAATGTAAAATGTTAACGGACGACGACGGACGAAAACGGATAGCAATAGGTCACTTGAGCTACAGCTCAGGTGACCTAAAAAAGGATAGTGGAACAATCCGCTAAAATAACAAATGAATTTGAGGTACGATTATTTTCCTTTAAATCACGTTTATTCTTTTATCATATTTAGGTATTTGTGCGCGAGTGAGTAATATGCTTATGTGTTTAACATATTAAGAAAGTTTGTTAATCCTATCAATAGAATCGAAGACAATTAAAAGATGAAGGAAGAATAAAGAAACTATTAAAAACAAAGGCAGAACACATCCACGCAGCTTGGGAAGCTGCAATTAAAAGAAGGGCAGAGAGCATAAAAAAGGGATGGCGGAACAATCCGCTAAAACAGCAAAATTATTGGAGGTACAAATATTTTCTTTTAACTCACGTTTATATTTATGTATATCGGGTAATATTATTTGCAGTTCCATCCACAAAGTGTTATATTTGGATGTTTGTTTGTTTGATTTTGTTTAACGTCCTATTAACAGCTAATAGTGCGGAACTGATGCCGACTTTATAGTGCTACCTCACTGAAACATACTGCCGAAGACACCCAGCAGGACGCCTCACCCGGTCACATTATTTGGATGTAAAATGCAATTGAATTGAATATATGCGAGTCATCAAACTGTCGTCATTCGTTACCTGTGTTACTATGTTTAATATATTTTGTTTTAATCGACAGAATCGTAGACAACTTGAGACGCTACGAGACGAGATACAGCAGCTTAATGAGGCAGCGACTGGTAAGGGTAACGCGAATGTATCATGAATAGCGGAAAAAAGTAACTTTAAAACGAGGTGATTGTAAGAAAGATATCATTTTCTGTTTGAAAACAAAATATACGTTTTACTATTTATTGTTTTCTTAAAACAGTTTATTTCACTTATTCAGATGAGAGAGAAGGAAGAAAGGAAAGGGGAAGAAGGACAACTGGAGGGAAATTCAAATCTTTACCTTCGGACTATATTGTGCATATAACGTTCATTTGTTATATAATATTAACTCTATTTTATTTGTTGTCATCGCCACGTAGAAAGGGTGTATCAAGCAAAAGGGGGAAAGTATGTTATAGAGCGAAAGGACAGGAGGAGAATAGTTCGGATACTGCCGCTGAATGTGGAAGTTATAGAGATAAATTAGAACATAAAGCGGGGTTTTAGATTTGAAAAACAAATATAAAAAACATTATTAAACATGGGTAACCGTAGAGGGAATGAACAGGACCACTATAACTTTCCGATCAAGCAACTTTTGATGGAAACATTAGAAGATCAGTTTGTTTGTTTGTTTATGTTTAACGGCCCATCGACGGCTGTGGTCATTTAGGGCCATGGTGATTTATTTATTTATTTTACTTTTTTAACAAACATGTGAATAGCGAAGATAAAATAAGATAAAATGGTTCATTTTAAAAGTATTCGCATTGTATGTGTAGATAATAAAAAAATAAATAAAAGGGAGTTAAAATAATAAAAGAGATAACGAATAGATGATATGGAATATGCGATATATATATAACGTCAAAAATGATAAGGTGGGTTAAAAGACATCAGAGTCTATAAAATAGCCCGATGTCTTTCAAATAGTTAAATAATGCCTTCGAATCCACGGAACTGAAAAGTGTTTTCATATCCGGGACTCGGAAGTAGTTATCACGAATGTGTTTAAAATCGGAACATTCTATTAAAAAATGCTCCACTGTAAATGGAGTGTCACATGCGTGGCATGAAGGTATATCTTCTCGTTTTAAAAGGTACGAATGAGTAGGATATGTGTGCCCAGTGCGGAGCCGAGCGAGGACAACTTCCTCTCTACGATCTTTCCGACTGGGAATAGATGTTTTAAGTTTCGGTTGTATCTTAAAAAGTTTGTTGTTGGTCTCCAGAGACCAGCGTTTCTGCCATTCATTTTGAATGGCTGTACGAATAGTAGGTTTAAAATCTGTGTATGGTAGTTTGATATTTGTTTGTTCGAGATTCAATGCATTTTTTGCTTCCCTGTCAGCAAATTCGTTGCCTTTTATTCCGACATGGCTCGGAATCCATAGTAAAGTTATTTTAGACTTTTTTAATATACGAGATATTCGAAGAGCAAGGTTTTGTACGATTGTGTTTTTAGGATCTCGTAACTGTAAACTCTGTAGGACAGATAGAGAGTCTGAACAAATAATTGCCTTTTTAATGCGGTGTTCATCGATATGGTCGAGGGCCAAACCAATGGCGCATGCTTCAGCAGAAAAGATGGAGGCGCCGTCTGGTAGTCGGACTGAAGTGCAAGTATTGGCAGTACAGCAGGCTGCTGCCACTTTCTCACCTTCTTTGGAGCCATCGGTGTAAAGTTGTGTATGAGAAGGGTAATTCGAAATGCATTCCCGAAAGGAGGATTTGTGTTCTTCGGGCATAACACTTGATTTCCCTCGCTCATGTAATGTAAAGTTAAAATCGGGGGTTTGAATGGTCCACGGAGGAACATCAGATATGTTAAATTCAGCTATGTCCGTCAATTTTATGTTGAGTTCTTGCAGGAAATTCAAAATTCGGATACCAAATGTTGGCAGAAGTTTTTGGTTTTGCGTAAATATGTTTTGGTATTTGGGGTTGAATACTTGGTTGAAAGCAGGATTTTTAGGGTTTGATTTTAATTGAGTTGCAAATTGTAATGAAAGTTTTATTCTTCTGTCATAAAGGGATGGTTCATTTGCTTCCACGTACAGGCTTTTTACAGGTGTTGTTCGAAAAGCTCCCAGGGCAAGACGTAGCCCTTGGTTATGGATTGGATCTAGCATCTGAAGGTACGAACTGCGCGCTGACCCGTATACCATAGAACCATAATCCAGTTTTGTTCGAATAAGTGATCTGTATAGGCGCAAAAGCATTTCACGATCCGCTCCCCAATCAGTATGAGAAAGGACTCGTATAATGTTTAACGCCTTGGAACACTTATCCTTCAGATACTTTATATGTGGTATGAAAGAGAGTTTCGAATCAAAAATGAGGCCGAGAAATTTAGTCTGTTCAACAACAGGAATTCTAGTGCCATCGAGTGTTAGATTTGGGTCATTGTGTGCTTTTCGTTTTTGACAGAAATGCATGCACACAGTTTTGGATTTAGAGAATTTGAAGCCGTTTTCGTCTGCCCAATTTTGTAGTTTGTTTAAACTCTGTTGAAGTTGTCGTTCTATCGTGTGCATGTTCTTAGATCTGTAACAGATCAAGAAGTCATCCACAAATAACGACCCTTCTGTTGATTGACCAAGACATTTGACTATATCATTGATTTTAACACCAAACAGTGTGACTGATAGGATTCCACCCTGTGGGACTCCCATTTCCTGTTTAGACGTTTCAGAGAAAGTTGAACCAACGCGGACTTTTAAGTGTCTATCTGATAGGTAATTGGATATAAAATTGGGGAGGTTTCCACGTACGCCAAGGTCGTGAAGATCTTTCATGATGCCATACTGCCATAGAAGATCAGCTCATGCATATATTTAGACAGCAGTCCAAAACAATTAAACTGAATTTCTTGTTCGGCTTTGCATTGGAAGATATAGAAGAGGAGATGAGATACTTCTATCCTCTCAATAACGAAACTAACATGTCCAGTTCCTTAAGAACAAGTTGGATGATTTAGAACAGTACTCGAGAAGGAACTGCCTGAAACTCAGTGGGATACCCGAATCCAAAAGGGAAAACACCCTTAGCCTGTATGATGCAAAAGGGGAGGGGAAAACCTATAGAATGTGTGGTGGGATTAATGTGCAACACAATAGGAAAGAATGTGTGGAGGGATTATATCACATAATTATAGGTGGAGGTACAATGTTCAAGGCGATAATGCAAGACAGAACATGTCTGTGTGGAGGGATTATGTCACACTTCTATACACAGCGAGTTGAAATAGCAGTGATGCAACCTTATGTGTATATAATGTAAACATTTAGAGTCTCCACAAATGGCACAAGATATTATCAACCATATAATCAAAGGATAAGATAAAATAGGATATTACTCTGACAAGCATATCACAGCGTAAGGTAGACTATCGTCTTGGAATTACACAAGAAGTCATAGTGAAAAAAGTCAAAGGTGAGCTGAAGATCTGTTTAAAAGACTTGAAGAGTATACAAATAACAGGAGACTATTTTAAAAAGATACTGTTTCAATCGGAAAGTTTACAGTGTGTTTGTGATTTGATACACTAACATGTCAGATATTACAACAGATTGTATCCGTCATACTTCGTATCACATTCGACCAGCATACCAGTCCATGATTCAATGTGAGGATCGATTACAAACGTTTAAGGACTGGCCCCAACAAATACCACAGACTCCAAACGAACTAAGTCACAACTGTGTTTTTTTCATTCAGAACATAGCGATAAAATCACCTGTTTCATGTGTGGAGTACAGTTAAGATCCTGGATAGCCTACGAATCCGTCGAAATCGAACATAAAAAGTGGTCGACAGATTGTGTGTATTTACAAATGGTTATACCACAACACGTCTAAGGTTACACAGTATCGTGCAAATTTATTATGGATATATTTGAGGAGACTTCATTCTTATATGAGAAACGACATTGAAGGAAAAGCTTAAAAGAAGATTGTGAAAAACATACTATGTCTAGCTTATGCATCAAGCGTGAAATACCTCATATCGAAATTGTTTGTATGTGCAGGATGTGTGGAGGGTCAAGCTAACCAGCAATGACATGAATGTGTCATGCTTGATAGTGAAGACAGAATAGATAGATATTTTGAAGAAGCCCTGTCAACCGTCCACCAATTAGAAGTGGAGAAACTGTGGCGCCAATTTACTATTCATACTGTATTCCTTCACACGTGTTACAACATTTAATGGAAGCTGAGTGTCTCCGCTCTGAAGAATATGTCAAACAACATTTCAGTGGGAACATTCTAGAGTGTAAAGAAAATAGATATTGTCAGACTGACTCTTTTGCTTGAAGTGTACAGTAAATCAAATAAAATGGAGGATATACATACAACTTTCGAGAAAATGGACTCTTGATTTAATTTTGTGTATGCTTTTCACCTATATCAACAATCATTTAAAAATGATGTTATAAGACATTTTAGGGAGGAAGTGAGCAGGTGGAAAATTCCTAACGAAATAAGAAACAAATATACTACAAATGTGTCTGGTTAGAATGGAGAAATAATGACCTGAAAAGACACAGAGAAGAAAAAAGATTGACGAAATGATTCAATCTATGCCTCGTGTAGAGAGTAGCTTTATAAAACCGCAACGTTTATCCGTTTTGTTCATTGATGTGGAGACTTTTAAGACAACAGCTTAAGTATGTGTTCGTTAACCAATGTATTGTAAATGCTAACTGATTGTATAACTTGTCTTTATTATTATGGCATGGTGCGGCGTCCGTCCGGCGTCAACTTTTTAAACAACTTCTTCTCAGTAACCAAAAGGCCTAAGGTGATGATATTTGGCCAGAAGCATGCTTGGATGAAGGGCTACCAAGTTTGTTCAAATAAATGACCTTCATCAATTTTCAAGGTCGCAGGGGTCAAATATGTTAAAAAATTTAAACAACTTCTTCTGAATAACCAAAATGCCCAGAGTGATGATTTTTGGCTAGTAACATGCTGGGATGAAGGGCTACCAAGTTTGTTCAAATGAATGACCTTCGTCCATTTTCAAGGTCACAGGGTCAATTGTCTTAAAAAATCTTTATACAGCTTCTTCTGAATAACTAAGAGGCCTAGGCTAATGATATTTGGCCAGTAACATGCTAGAATGAAGTGCTACAAAGTTTGTTCAAATGAATGACCTTGACTTATATTCAAGGTCATATGGGTCAAATATGTTTAAAACCTTTAAACAACTTCTTCTGAATAACCAAGAGGCTTGGGATAATGATATTTGCCAGAAGCATGCCGGGAAGAAGGTATACCAAGTTTGTTCAAATGAATGACCTTGACTTATATTCAAGGTCACGGGGGTTAAATATGTAAAAAAACCTTAAAACAACTTCTGAATAACTAAGAGGCCTATAGAGTTAAGGTATTTCCTCATTAGCATTCTGGGATAAAGGGCTACCTATTTTGTTCAAAAGAATGACCTTGACTTATATTCAAGGTCACAGGGGTCAAATATGTTAAAAACCTTTAAACAATTTCTTTTGAATAACTAAGATGCATAGGGTTAAGATATTTGGCCAGTAGCATGCTGTGATTAAGGGCTACCAAGTTTGTTCAAATGAATGACCTTCGTCCATTTTCAAGGTCACAGGGGTCAATTGTCTTAACAAATCTTTAAACAACTTCTTCTAAATAACTATGAAGCCTAGGATAATGATATTTGGCCAGTAACATGCCAGGATGAAGGGCTACCAATTTTGTCAAAATGAATGACCTTCGCAAATATTCAAGGTCACAGTGGTCAATATATGTTTAAATCTTTAAATGACTTGTTCTGTATAACCAATAGGTCCAGGGTTATGATACTTTAAACTCTGTTCAATCTGATGTCCTTGTTCGACATTCAAGGTCGCAGGCGTCATGTTTAAATCTTTAATAGGCTCTTATGAATCAAACACCGATATTCTTCCTATAGCTGCATTTTAGTCCACTTTTGAGATTACAAGTGTGAGATTAATACCAGGTGAGCGATTCAGGCCCATTGGGCCTCTTGTATATTGTAAACATGAACATTTTATCAGTTTGTATATTTAAATCATTAAAGTGTGTGTAAACGAGCATGCTTTCTATTTTTACTTTATATATAGTCTTTATAGAATATATCGACGTCTTTCAAATAGCTAAGTAATGCCTTCGAGTCCACGGAACTTAAAAGAGTTTTCATATCGGGGACTCGAAAGTATTTATCACGAATGTGTTTAAAATCAGGACATTCTATTAAAATGTTTCACTGTAAATGGAGTGTCACATGCATGGCATGAAGGTGGATCTTCTCGTTTTAAAAGGTACGAATGAGTACGATATGAGTGCCTAGTACGAAGATGAGCGAGAACTTCCTCTCTACGATCTTTCTGACTTGGAATAGATTTCGGTTGTACTTTAAAAAGTTTCCAGGGACCAGCGTTGCTGCCATTCATTTTGAATGGGTGTACGAATAATTGGTTTCAAATCTGTATATGGTAGTTTGATATTTGTTTGTTGGAGATTCAATGCATTCTTTGCTTCCTTGTCAACAAATTCGTTGCCTTTAATTATTTATTAATTTATTAATGACTATTTGGTGAACATTTTCTTTGCTTTTGAGTTCTTTTCCCATTCAACCCTAGTTCAACTGTGGATATACAACAATACTGCCCAATACCATGAATATATATTGCAATTTCTTCGGCGTCAACATGTAAGTGCCGAACAAGATTAGTTTGGGTTGTACAGGGTGTAACGTCCTATTAACAGCTAAGGTCATTTAAGGAAGCATCTCCACGTGTGTTTTGTTGCATGGGTGTGTGCCGGAGACACAGAATGTTGGTGTTATTGCCTTCTTGCCAATGAGAGGATCTGATGCCGACTTTATAGTGCTATCTCACTGAAATACCATGAACATTACGCTAAAGCAGGACAACGACATGCCACACACAGCTCGTGTCGCTATGGACTTTCTTGTCCAGCAGAACGTTGACGTGTTGCCCTGGCTTGCTGTATCCCCCGATCTGTCACCAATAGAACACGTCTGGGATGAAATGAAGCGCAGATTACGGGCTTTACCTAATCAACAGGCGACGTTGGCCGATTTGCCTGCAGCGTTGGTACAGATCTTGATTGCCATTCCACAAGCATTCTTGAACCGTCTGATAGGCTTCATGCGTCGACGTTGCCAGGCTTGCATTCAGGCAAACGGTGGACAGACGAGGTATTAACTTTGTGAACTCAGTATTGTCCCCTGCTGTGTTAACGTCACTCTTGAACGGAACTTATTGATTTCATAATGTGGAAAATGGAATGCAACTGTTAATAAATAACAAATAAATTGTCCCTGAAAACCTTATTGTTCTACGTCATACACATTTATTTTTTGTAACGCATTTTAGGCATGCACAGGGTTATTTCCCGCTAGTACAAATGTATATACATTCAATTTTACATCGACAGACAGGGTTAACTATATATAGAGCAGTTTTAGTGATTACGGTTCGGATTCCATGAGTGAAATTCAGAAGATTGAGGATGGAGAAAGGATAAAACAACAATTACTAAAAAAGAAGGCGGAAGACATCCGCGCAGCACGTTCGGCTCCATAAAAAGGAGAGAAGTGTTCATCAAAAAACGGATGGCGGAACAATTTGCTAAAAAAGATCAAATGAATTTGAGGTACGATTATTTTCTTTTAAATCACGTTTATACTTTATAGGCTCACCTGGTACCGTAGCGTCTGTCCGTCCTGTCAACTTCTCCTTTAAAACCCTACTAGTCCTGAACGGCCAAGTAGATTTAACTAAATTTGGTCTGGAGTATCCTTAGGCCAAGGGGACTCAATTTTGAATAAATGTTGGGTGTGGCCCACTGGGGGAAGAGGGGCAGGGCCCAATAGGGGAAATAGAGGTAAAACTTTCAAAATTCTTCTTCTAGCATAGGGATTAAGGGATGTAATCCTAATTTAGTCTGGAGCATCCTTGGGCCAAGGGGACTCAATTTGGTATAAATGGTGGGTGTGGTCTCCCACGGGGCAGAAGCCAGGTCCAATAGGAGAAATAGAGGTAAAACCTTTAAAATCCTTCTTCGACCATAGTGATTAAGGAATTTTATACTTATTTAGTCTGGAGGACTCAATTTTATATAAACGGTCGGTATGACCCCCTAGGGGCATAGGGGTGGGGCTCTGTTTGAAATTTGTTATATCTCAAGTACTGGATGGATCTGTCTGAAATTTCATATGTACTTACAGCACCGACCATGGAGTACTATATCTTTACTTCATACCAATTATTTCGAACATATTCAGGTGAGCGATACTGGCCCACTGGGCCTCTTGTTATATAAAGGTTGCTGCTTGTGTATGTACGCGAGTGAGTAATATGCTGTGTTTAATATTTATGAAAGGTTGTTTGTTAATCGATAGAATCGAAGACAATTGAAAGATGAAGGAAGAATAAAGAGACTATTAAAAACAAAGGCAGAACACATCCGCACAGCTCTGGAAGCTGCCCTTAAAAGAAGGACATAGTATAAAAAGGCGATGGCGGAACAGTCCCCTTAAACAGCAAAATAATTGGAGGTACGAATATTTTCTTTTAAATCACGTTTATATTTATGTATATAACGGGTAACATTATTTGCAGTTCGATCCACAAAGTGTTATATTTGGATGTAAAATGCAATTGAATTGAATATATGCGAGTCATCAAACTGTCTCCATGTGTTACTATGTTTACTATGTTTTATTTTGTTTTAATCAACAGAATCGTAGACAACTTGAGACGCTACGAGACGAGATGCAGCAGCTTAATGAGGCAGCGGCTGGTAAGGGTAACGCGAATGTATCATGAATAGCGGAAAAAAGTAACTTTAAAACGACGTGATTGTAAGAAAGATATCATTTTCCGTTTGAAAACAAAATATAGGTTTTACTATTTATTGTTTTCTTAAAACAGTTTATTTCACTTATTCAGATGAGAGAAAAGGAAGAAAGGAAAGGGGAAGGACAACTGGAGGGAAATTCAAATCTTTACCTTCGGACTATATTGTGCATATAACGTTCATTTGTTATATAATATTAACTCTATTTTATTTGTTGTCATCGCCACATAGAAAGGGTGTATAAAGCAAAAGGGGGAAAGTATGTTATAGAGCGAAAGGACAGGAGGAGAATAGTTCGGATACTGCCGCTGAATGTGGAAGTTGTAGAGATAAATTGGAACATAAAGCGGGGTTTTAGATTTGAAAAACAAATATAAAAAACATTATTAAACATGGGTCACCGTAGAGGGAATGAACTTTCCGATCAAGCAACTTTTGATGGAAACATTAGAAGATCAGCTCATGCATATATTTAGACAGCAGTCCAAAACAATTAAACTGAATTTCTTGTTCGGCTTTGCATTGCAAGATATATTAGAGGAGATGAGATACTTCTATCCTCTCAATAACGAAACTAACGTGTCCACTTCCTTTTTACAAGTTGGATGATTTAGATCAGTACTCGAGAAGGAACTGCCTGAAACTCAGTGGGATACCCGAATCCAAAAGGGAAAACACCCTTAGCCTGTATGATGCAAAAGGGGAGGGGAAAACCTATGGAATGTGTGGTGGGATTAATGTGCAACACAATAGGAAAGAATGTGTGGAGGGATTATATCCCATAATTATAGGTGGAGGTACAATGTTCAAGGCGATAATGCAAGACAGAACATGTCTGTGTGGAGGGATTATGTCACACTTCTATACACAGCGAGTTGAAATAGCAGTGATGCAACCTTATGTGTATATAATGTAAACATTTAGAGTCTCCACAAATGGCACAAGATATTATCAACCATATAATTAAAGGATAAGATAAAATAAGATATTACTCTGACAAGCATATCACAGCGTAAGGTAGACTATCGTCTTGGAATTACACAAGAAGTCATCGTGAAAAAAGTCAAAGGTGAGCTGAAAATCTGTTTAAAAGACTTGAAGAGTATACAAATAACAGGAGACTATTCTAAAAAGATACTGTTTCAATCGGAAAGTTTACAGTGTGTTTGTGATTTGATACACTAACATGTCGGATATTACAACAGATTGTATCCGTCATACTTCGTATCACATTCGACCAGCATACCAGTCCATGATTCAATGTGAGGATCTATTACAAACGTTTAAGGACTGGCCCCAACAAATACCACAGACTCCAAACGAACTCGGTCACAACTGTGTTTTTTTTATTCAGGACATAGAGATAAAATCACCTGTTTCATGTGTGGAGTACAGTTAAGATCCTGGATAGCCTATGATACCGTCGAAATCGAACATAAAAAGTGGTCGACAGATTGTGTGTATTTACAAATGGTTATACCACAACACGTCTAAGGTTACACAGTATCGTGCTAATTTATTATGGATATATTTGAGGAGACTTCATTCTTATATGAGAAACGACATTGAAGGAAAAGCTTATAAGAAGATTGTGAAAAACTATGTCTAGCTTATGCATCAAGCGTGAAATACCTCATATCGAAATTGTTTGTATGTGCAGGATGTGTGGAGGGTCAAGCTAACCAGCAAGGACATGAATGTGTCATGCTTGATAGTGAAGACAGAATAGATAGATATTTTGAAGAAGCCCTGTCAACCGTCCACCAATTAGAAGTGGAGAAACTGTGGCGCCAATTTACTATTCAATCCTGTATTCCTTCACACGTGTTACAACATTTAATGGAAGCTGAGTGTCTCCGCTCTGAAGAATATGTCAAACAACATTTCAGTGGGAACATTCTAGAGTGTAAAGAAAATAGATATGGTCAGACTGACTCTTTTGCTTGATGTGTACAGTTAAATCAAATAAAATGGAGGATATACATACAACTTTCGAGAAAATGGACTTTTGATTTAATTTTGTGTATGCTTTTCACCTATATCAACAATCATTTAAAAATGATGTTATAAGACATTTTATAGAGGAAGTGAGCAGGTGGAAAATTCCTAACGAAATAAGAAACAAATATATTACAAATGTGTCTGGTTAGAATGGAGAAATAATGACCTGAAAAGACACAGAGAAGAAAAAAGATTGACGAAATGATTCAATCTATGCCTCGTGTAGAGAGTAGCTTTATAAAACCGTAACGTTTATCCTTTTTTTTCATTTATGTGGAGACTTTTAAGACAACAGCTTAAGTATGTATTCGTTAACCAATGTATTGTAAATGCTAACTGATTGTATAACTTGTCCCAATTAGTCTGGTCATTCTGTAATTTAACCTCAAGAAAATTGCAACAGAATATTTTACGACTGTTTCCTTTTAATTGATTGTATTTGAGTTTGTATTAAAAAGTCTACCAAAATCAACCTTCGGGAAAATAGTTAATTCCCGCATCAAAAAAGATAAATACAAACGAGGAGAATATGGCACCCACGGGCCGCCGTACATGAAGAAGAGCTCGCAAAGGGAGATAATTTGTAGTGATCATGCTAGTGCCTTGGAAAATATTCGGAAACAAAACAACGATAACGGAGCCGTATTATTTCATGGTAAGTTGACAAATGCACATTTATTTAAAAATGTAATTTATAATGATGAAAATAATAGCAGTTGGCTTCCAATATACGTTTAACATGCCCATCAACCATAAATTGTGTAGCGTCGTCTGCTATGTAACTACGGCCGCACCAGCAGAGAACATGTGTGTTAAACACGACCGATAACCATATTCCTGTCTTTAATAAATTCATCCAACATTGTTACAATATTATTAGAAACATAATTATGTGAAAAATTATATCGAAAAGTGGAAAATCAATAAAAACTTTGGACCCTCCTTGATAAAATAGAAAATGTATGGAAGCCCATGAGTGACATGATGTATAATAATTTGCGTAATGCGTACGCAATTTGCAATTCATTAAATTCATTACGTTTTACAGCCAATCTTGACAATATTGATATCGAAACAAGTTACCTATTTCTAAAACACCCGATATTGACATTTCTCGTCTTGAGTGCATTAGTTTTACTGTTTAAAGTCACAAAATTAACTCTTTTAACCGACTTGTAACTTTTTTTTGTCTGTGAAATTGGTGAAAAACGGAACCAGGAAAATTCAGCAAATGCAGATGCTATTACTGAAATATATAGGAATTTAAACAATTTTACTCTCTTTTGGCACGATGCTGTAAGACATTTTTCTTCTTTCAGAATTACGGCTATACCAGTAAATATGGAAGAATGTGTTCTGTGTCATCATTCTCTCCAGGACGGACGGGATATAGCTGTGACCTTACGACAAAAAGGTAGTATAGGTATAAACGAAGCCAGCAAGGTACGTGGCGACTCCATACTTACTGTCCCAGGTCAACAAGTACACCAAGATTGTCGCAAGTCATATGTTAATCCAAAGTCTATGCACCTAAACCAAAAGAAATCTCAGGATAAAGATACGGATTCCTTATTAGCATCAAAAAGCAGTCTTCGTTCGAGTTCCCTTTTTGATTTTCAACAACACTGTCTTTTCTGTGGTCAATCTGCAAGATTGTCTGGAAACAAAAGAGGCCCTGACGTATTTCCAGTTCGAACTTCAGATTTTGATTGCACAATTTTGGATATTTGCACAGACCGCAATGATGATTGGGCTGCTGAGGTGAAGGGAAGGATAGAATATGCAGCTGATCTTTACGCTGCTGATGCATTGTATCATCAAAGTTGTAGTGTTAACTTCCGAACCTTCAGACAGGTACCCCAAGAATTTTCCCCACAAACAAAGAAACAGAGGACACCAGTTGGAAGACCATCAGCAAAAAGAGAAAGTTTTATATATGCAACAGAGTATTTGGTTCAGCATGACAATGAACAAATTACCATCATCGATCTGGTAAAGAAAATGGCAGAACATTGTGGGGAAGAAAATGCATATAGTGTGTCACATATGAAGGTTAAATTATTAGAACATTTTGGACCTCGGATTGTGATATCTGAAATTAATGGTAAATCAAATGTTGTGACTCTCCAATACACTGCTAGGTCTATTCTCCAGGATTATTATGAGAATCAGACAAAGAGTAACACTGAATCGGAGACAAAATTCATCATCATGACAGCAGCCAAACTTCTTAAAAAAGATATACGTGCAATGCAAGCATCTAAGGATTACTATACGGCGACTGAGGATTTGTCTTCTTTGGACAAAAATATCGACTTTGTTCCAGAATCTCTTCAGCTTCTGCTTAGGACATTGTTTTCAAAAGACTCTGAACTACGTGTAGCTTCCATTGGACAAGCACTTATACAAAGTAGTGCCCCAAAGCAGTGCATTTCGCCTCTACAAATCGGACTTGGTGTGCAATTACACCATCACTTTGCATCACGACTGCTGATAGATACATTATCAAAACTGGGATTTTGTTCTTCCTATACAGAAGTTCAGAAATTTGAATCATCAGCTGCGTTTGAGAAAGGCAAAGACCGTCCTATGACTGGCTTTGATCTTGAAGGATGTCTGCAATATGTAGCAGACAACGTTGACCATAATACAAGAACGCTTGATGGCAAAAATACATTTCATGGTATGGGCATTATAGCTGGAGTTACCCCTGGAATAACTGGTTCCATCAAAGTTCCAAGACGGGAAGTATCAGCTGAGGAATTGCGTGTCATGGGCAAAATCAACGTTAAACATTATGTTAAAAAACTATCTGAACATGGGTTTGCTGCATTGAAATATCAAGAACTTCGCAAGATGACTGTTGTAAATAAAGCAGAAATGATGGACATCTTACATAGTGTGGCTTGGCCTTTAAGAACACCTGCTCCAATCTGGTCTGGATTCATGCAAATGGTGAGCAAGGGCAATCATCCAGGACAATCGTCAATTGTGTTCCTTCCTATGATAGATATGGATCCTACAAACATGTCATGCATCTACTCAACCATACACTTTGTCACTTCAGAGGCTATACGTTATGGGACAACTCCAGTCTTGACCTTCGACCAGCCCCTTTTTTGGAAAGCAATGGAGATTGTTTGTAACGAACTTCCTGGAAGTGATATAGCTGATGTAGTTCTACGTCTGGGAGGTTTTCACACAGAGATGAGCTTTCTGGGAAGCATAGGTCGTATCATGAGTGGGACAGGACTACAGGATGCGTTAGAAACTATATTTGCTCCGAATGCCGTCAGTCATATGCTCAGCGGGAAAGCAGTAGCCAGGGCTGTGAGGGGATTTATGCTGGTGGATTTGGCTTTACAGTCTCTACTTGTAGAACAGATGTTTCAGGCACAGTGTGAATTCAACGAAGAGTGTACAGAATATCCAGAACTCCTCCAAAGTGTTCTTGCCCTTTATGATAACTTGATGAGTGAGCACTACAACAGCAGTGAATCAATTGAATCAAATGAATCTCTGACTGAAATTTCTACCATGATGTCAGATTTGAAAGAGCAGCTTCAGAGGTCAAGGACATCTTCTCTGTGGATCACTTTCTGTGAAATGATGGCGATTCTTCGACGATTTCTAAAGGCTGAACGGACCGGAAATTGGGACTTACATTTACAGACAACTCGGGAAATGTTACCTTACTTCGCAGCATCTGGACACAACCTGTATACAAAATCTGCGTATATTTACCTCTCCAACATGCAAAATCTTGAATCGGAACACCCAGACGTTTATCAACACTTTCAGGATGGTCATCACGTTCTACGGCGTAGCGACCGTTATTGGGCTGGTCTCTCTACTGATCTTGCGATTGAACAAGTACTGATGAAAAACATAAAATCTTGTGGGGGTTTGACTAGAGGACGGGGAATGGATGAAGCCCAGAGAGCCCAGTGGGTGTTATCTATGCCGGCGTGTGCAGAGTACAATTCAGCAATGCAAAACATAACTGGAGTGATCACTCGGTCAGATGATCAGCACAAGGAAACGTCAAAAGGCCGGATGGCGAGAGATTTCAAGGACACCCAGACTATCATTGACTTCCTCAAAGAACGAAATCCATTTGCAGAAGATCTTTCTTTACGGAATATCGTCACTGGAGAGGTTGCAGATGATACAGCAAATGCAGACAAAGCGTTAGAAATTGGGCAGAAGATCCTGAAGAAGATGGTGGACCAACCTGTTACTGAATTTTCCTTCAAAAGATCAGAACAAGTAATCACAGTTGGAACAAAACCCAATTCGAAATCTGGATTTGATCATGATCATATTGATGTGGATCCCCAATTGATGTTCCAGCGTCTTATAACAGCTGCAAATGGTCTGTTTGAGAACACGTCGGATGTTTTCAAGCATGAATTATCCAGTTTCCCATCATCGTTATTTGACAACAACGGATTGCCACGAGAGAGTTGCAAGTCACCACTCGCAGATGCAATATGGTCTCTCGGCACTTGTGAAGCTGACAACACCCTTGATGAAAACGTGCAGCATGTGATAGATGGAGGCTCCCTTTTACAAAGAATACCCTGGCGATCTGAGTCAACTTTCAAAGACATATGTCAAGTATACGTAACACATATCAACGCCAGGTATACTGACCCTGTCATAGTTTTTGACAGCTATCCAGACCACCCAGTCACAAAGGACATTACACACATGCGTCGGTCTAAAGGAATCGTGTCACCCAACGTCAATTTTGCGGAAAATATGCCATTCAAATCCAAGAAGGAAGCTTTCTTGGGGAATCCTGTCAACAAACAAAAGTTCATAGATATGTTGTCATCAAAGTTGTCTGAAAGTGGTGTAAGATGTCTGAAGGCTGTCGATGATGCCGATCTCTTGATTGCACAGTCAGCGGTGAACTTCTCAAAAGAACAGAAAACAGCAGTAATTGGAGAAGATACAGATTTGCTAGTACTGCTCTGCCATCATGCAGACCCGAATCAATACCCTATAATTTTCAAGTCCGATAAGCAAGTAGGAAGAAAACTAAAAATTTGGGATATTAGCAAAACCATCAAATCTCTCGGAGAAGACATTTGCAATCTGCTGCCGTTTATTCATGCAATAACCGGCTGTGACACAACCTCGAGACTGTTTGGTATCGGGAAGAACATTGGATTAAAGAAATGTAAAGAAAATGCATATTTCATGGAACAAGGGAAAACTTTCATTCACAGTTTTTCTTCTAAAGATGAGGTCATTAAGGCGGGTGCAGAATGCATTGTACAAATGTATGGAGGATTACAGCACGAGGGACTTGATATTCTACGCTGGAGGAAATTTACTTCAAAAGTGGTATCAGGACACGTTGGCGTCCAAATTAAAACTCTGCCTCCAACCTCTGATGCGGCAAAATACCACAGCTTGAGAACTTATCTGCAGTGTCAGCAATGGATAAACAATGGACAGAATATTGATCCTACAGAATGGGGGTGGTATATTCAAAACGGAAAACTGTTTCCAGTCAAGTCGTCAATTGCACCAGCACCCGAACAGTTAATGAAAATGATTAAATGCAACTGCAAGCTTAACTGCGATACAAAACGGTGCACCTGTCGTAGAAACGGACTAGAGTGCTCAGCTGCCTGTGGGGAATGTAGGGGAATAAACTGCACTAATTCGAATCCTGTGACCGCAGAAGACTTGGGCGAGGATTAGAATAATGCCCTGTGAAATATTGTGAGTAGTACAAAACAGTACGAGGACAAGTACAATTGCATTAGTCCAATGGACGATTTTGGAAACTTATTAACATCATTTTAAAAATGTCCTCAAAATGCAAATGAGTGGCTGCCATGTTGGTTTCCCTGTCTATGGTCAACAAGCGAAGAAATATAATTAATTCCGTCCTTTATAATATTACACATTTCACAATAATACTTACATTAAGATTTTATTTGATAAACATTCTATTCATACTGTTTTTTGAAAAACAAAGAACATGAATTACCTTAGAACTTTGACTGCAAACCTTGAACTGAGCTATGTTGGCGTCAGTTTGAACAACACCAGGATGACGTCATAATTGAATATCGTTATTGGCGCCAAAGTATTGAAGGACACTTGACTTATCAAAATCATCCATTGTCTTTGGAATTATACACACACACAATTAGGTGATTTTTTCCACAATTAGTACATTAAGTTCTTAAAATGAGATATGAAGTGTGATTATCTTACATTTGAACATAATATGTATGACTTATTATTCCAATAATTGAAAATCTATGGCAACATTTAACTTCTCGGCCACTCTTCATATATGTCCTCTATTTGACCTTGAACTATTATAATGAATTAAATTGTCCCTGTGATATTTTTTATAAAGTAAATAAAAGTTGTATATCCAGATTGTTCTTTAATTTATTTGTATTAGAAAGAAAACTATAATAAATTTGAATCTCTTCCTTCCTATAAATATCCCAAAATACGAAAATACGAATTATATAGACATATATCTTGTGACCTTGAGAAAGGTCATTCCCATGAGTTGATTTTGGTAGACTTTTTTTCCCTGAAAGCTGACATGCTACCAAATAACATAAAGTATGAATTAATTCTGTTGCAATTTTCTTGAGGTTGGCCCTTTATTTCGACCAAAATGACCAGACTAAAGGGCCAAGTGAGCTTACGGCATGGTGCGGCGTCTGGCGTCCGTCCGGCGTCAACTTTTTAAACAACTTCTTCTCGGTAACCAAAAGGCCTAAGGTGATGATATTTGGCCAGAAGCATGCTTGGATGAAGGGCTACCAAGTTTGTTCAAATAAATGACCTTGACTTATATTCAAGGGCATATGGGTCAAATATGTTTAAAACCTTTAAACAACTTCTTCCGAATAACCAAGAGGCTTGGGATAATGATATTTGGCCAGAAGCATGCTGGGAAGAAGGTATACCAAGTTTGTTCAAATGAATGACCTTGACTTATATTCAAGGTCACGGGGGATAAATATGTAAAAAAAACAACTTAAAACAACTTCTGAATAACTAAGAGGCCTATAGAGTTAAGGTATTTCCTCATTAGCATTCTGGGATAAAGGGCTACCTATTTTGTTCAAAAGAATGACCTTGACTTATATTCAAGGTCACAGGGGTCAAATATGTTAAAAACCTTTAAACAATTTCTTTTGAATAACTAAGAGGCATAGGGTTAAGATATTTGGCCAGTAGCATGCTGTGATTAAGGGCTACCAAGTTTGTTCAAATGAATGACCTTCGTCCATTTTCAAGGTCACAGGGGTCAATTGTCTTAACAAATCTTTAAACAACTTCTTCTAAATAACTATGAAGCCTAGGATAATGATATTTGGCCAGTAACATGCCAGGATGAAGGGCTACCAATTTTGTCAAAATGAATGACCTTCGCCCATATTCAAGGTCACAGTGGTCAATATATGTTTAAATCTTTAAATGACTTGTTCTGTATAACCAATAGGTCCAGGGTTATGATACTTTAAACTCTGTTCAATCTGATGTCCTTGTTCGACATTCAAGGTCGCAGGCGTCATATGTTTAAATCTTTTAATAAGCTCTTATGAATCAAACACTGATATTCTTCCTATAGCTGCATTTTAGTCCACTTTTAAGATTACAAGTGTGAGATTAATACCAGGTGAGCGATTCAGGCCCATTGGGCCTCTTGTATATTGTAAACATGAACATTTTATCAGTTTGTATATTTAAATCATTAAAGTGTGTGTAAACGAGCATGCTTTCTATTATTACTTTATATATAGTCTTTATAGAATATATCGACGTCTTTCAAATAGCTAAGTAATGCCTTCGAGTCCACGGAACTGAAAAGAGTTTTCATATCGGGGACTCGAAAGTATTTATCACGAATGTGTTTAAAATCAGGACATTCTATTAAAATGTTTCACTGTAAATTGAGTGTCACATGCATGGCATGAAGGTGGATCTTCTCGTTTTAAAAGGTACGAATGAGTATGATATGTGTGCCCAGTACGAAGACGAGCGAGAACAACTTCCTCTCTACGATCTTTCTGACTTGGAATAGATTTTGGTTGTACTTTAAAAAGTTTCCAGGGACCAGCGTTGCTGCCATTCATTTTGAATGGGTGTACGAATAATTGGTTTCAAACCTGTATATGGTAGTTTGATATTTGTTTGTTGGAGATTCAATGCATTCTTTGCTTCCTTGTCAACAAATTCGTTGCCTTTAATTATTTATTAATTTATTAATGACTATTTGGTGAACATTTTCTTTGCTATTGAGTTTTTTTCCCATTCAACCCTAGTTCAACTGTGGATATACAACAATACTGCCCAATACCATGAATATATTATTGCAATGTCTTCGGCGTCAACATGTAAGTGCCGAACAAGATTAGTTTGGGTTGTACAGGGTGTAACGTCCTATTAACAGCTAAGGTCATTTAAGGAAGCATCTCCATGTGTGTTTTGTTGCATGGGTGTGTGCCGGAGACACAGAATGTTGGTGTTATTGCCTTCTTGCCAATGAGAGGATCTGATGCCGACTTTATAGTGCTATCTCACTGAAATACCATGAACATTACGCTAAAGCAGGACAACGACATGCCACACACAGCTCGTGTCGCTATGGACTTTCTTGTCCAGCAGAACGTTGACGTGTTGCCCTGGCTTGCTGTATCCCCCGATCTGTCACCATAGAACACGTCTGGGATGAAATGAAGCGCAGATTACGGGCATTACCTAATCAACAGGTGACGTTGGCCAATTTGCCTGCAGCGTTGGTACAGATCTTGATTGCCATTCCACAAGCATTCTTGAACCGTCTGATAGGCTTCATGCGTCGACGGTGCCAGGCTTGCATTCAGGCAAACGGTGGACAGACGAGGTATTAACTTTGTGAACTCAGTATTGTCCCCTGCTGTGTTAACGTCACTCTTGAACGGAACTTATTGATTTCATAATGTGGAAAATGGAATGCAACTGTTAATAAATAACAAATAAATTGTCCCTGAAAACCTTATTGTTCTACGTCATACACATTTATTTTTTGTAACGCATTTTAGGCATGCACAGGGTTATTTCCCGCTAGTACAAATGTATATACATTCAATTTTACATCGACAGACAGGGTTAACTATATATAGAGCAGTTTTAGTGATTACGGTTCGGATTCCATGAGTGAAATTCAGAAGATTGAGGATGGAGAAAGGATAAAACAACAATTACTAAAAAAGAAGGCGGAAGACATCCGTGCAGCACGTTCGACTCCATAAAAAGGAGAGAAGTGTTCATCAAAAAACGGATGGCGGAACAATTTGCTAAAAAAGATCAAATGAATTTGAGGTACGATTATTTTCTTTTAAATCACGTTTATACTTTATAAGCTCACCTGGTACCGTAGCGTGCGTCCGTCCTTCTGTCAACTTCTCCTTTAAAACCCTACTAGTCCTGAACGGCCAAGTAGATTTTAACTAAATTTGGTCTGGAGTATCCTTAGGCCAAGGGGACTCAATTTTGAATAAATGTTGGGTGTGACCCACTGGGGGAAGAGGGGCAGGGCCCAATAGGGGAAATAGAGGTAAAACTTTCAAAATTCTTCTTCTAGCATAGGGATTAAGGGATGTAATCCTAATTTAGTCTGGAGCATCCTTGGGCCAAGGGGACTCAATTTGGTATAAAAGGTGGGTGTGGTCTCCCACGGGGCAGAAGCCAGGGTCCAATAGGAGAAATAGAGGTAAAACCTTTAAAATCCTTCTTCGACCATAGTGATTAAGGGATTTTATACTTATTTAGTGTGGAGGACTCAATTTTATATAAACGGTCGGTATGACCCCCTAGGGGCATAGGGGTGAGTCTCTGTTTGAAATTTGTTATATCTCAAGTACTGGATGGATCTGTCTGAAATTTCATATGTACTTACAGCACCGACCATGGAGTACTATATCTTTACTTCATACCAATTATTTCGAACATATTCAGGTGAGCGATACTGGCCCACTGGGCCTCTTGTTATATAAAGGTTGCTGCTTGTGTATGTGCGCGAGTGAGTAATATGCTGTGTTTAATATTTAAGAAAGGTTGTTTGTTAATCGATAGAATCTAAGACAATTGAAAGATGAAGGAAGAATAAAGAGACTTAAAAACAAAGGCAGAACACATCCGCACAGCTCTGGAAGCTGCCCTTAAAAGAAGGACATAGTATAAAAAGGCGATGGCGGAACAATCCGCTTAAACAGCAAAATAATTGGAGGTACGAATATTTTCTTTTAAATCACGTTTATATTTATGTATATAACGGGTAACATTATTTGCAGTTCGATCCACAAAGTCTTATATTTGGATGTAAAATGCAATTGAATTGAATATATGCGAGTCATCAAACTGTCTCCATGTGTTACTATGTTTAATATGGTTTATTTTGTTTGTTTGTTTGATTTTGTTTAACGTCCTATTAACAGCTAAGGTCATTTAAGGACGGCCTCCCCTGTGTGCAAGATGCATGCGTGTAGTGTATGTGTGTGTATTTTGGGAGGCTGCGATATGTTCGTGTTTGACTCCTTGTGATAGCGCGGAACTGATGCCGACTTTATAGTGCTACCTCACTGAAACATACTGCCGAAGGCACCCAGCAGGACGCCCCACCCGGTCACATTATACTGACAACGTGCGAACCAGTCGTCATACTCCTAATTTGCTGAGCGTTAAGCAGGAGAATAAGCTACCATTTTTTAAGACTTTGGTATGTCTCGGCCAGGGGACAGAACCCAAAGCCTTCCTCACAGGGAATCGTAGACAACTTGAGACGCTACAAGACGAGATGCAGCAGCTTAATGAGGCAGCGGCTGGTAAGGGTAACGCGAATGTATCATGAATAGCGGAAAAAAGTAACTTTAAAACGACGTGATTGTAAGAAAGATATCATTTTCCGTTTGAAAACAAAATATAGGTTTTACTATTTATTGTTTTCTTAAAACAGTTTATTTCACTTATTCAGATGAGAGAAAAGGAAGAAAGGAAAGGGGAAGAAGGACAACTGGAGGGAAAAGAAGGGAAAGGGGTAAGCATATTTATAAACACATTACTATTACAACAGGAAATTCAAATCTTTACCTTCTGACTATATTGTGCATCTTACGTTCATTTGTTATATAATATTAACTCTATTTTATTTGTTGTCATCGCCATGTAGAAAGGGGGTATAAAGCTAAAGGCAGAAAGTATGTTATAGAGTGAAAGGACAGGAGGAGAATAGTTCGGATACTGCCGCTGAATGTGGAAGTTATAGAGATAGATTAGAACCCAACGCGGGCTCGTCTTCCGACAATAATGATATAAGAAACCACATTTTTGTGGAGCTCAACTTGAGCACGATGATGAAACGCATTTAGATCATAAACATGTTCAAACCAAACCGACAGTGGAGATATAGAGGACAGGGCATTTTTAGATTTGAAAAACAAATATAAAAAAGTCATAAACATGGGTCACTATAGACGGAATGTACAGGACCTTCCATGGGAACATTAGAAGATCAAATCATGCATATATTTAGACAGCAGTCTAAAACATTTAAACAGCAGTCTAAAACATTTAAACAGCAGTCTAAAACATTTAAACTAAATTTCTTGTTCAACCTTGCATTGCATATATATATTCTAGATATAGAAGGGGAGATGAGATACTTCTATCCTCACACTAAT